GGCTAAGTAACTGTCTCTCCCCTGGCTGCTTCTCTAAAACCAAAATAACAGTTCTAACCCTCACTTCACGAGTTGCAGTGAGAGGAATTCTTTGACTCCAGCTGGGTCAGAGGGGAAAGAGATGTGATATACCTCCAGCAATCGTTTTGGCAGCCCACAGTTGTCCTCCTCTTTGCGAGCTCTCGGCCACTGCTAGTGTCTTCATGACTTTTGTGCAAATGACTGCTGGCACAGGTCCGGAGGACAGACGAGATCCCAAGCCTACCCCAAAGGGCCTGACCTCAAGGAAACCGCTGAGTGTCGGCTCTGGACCCTGTTCAACCCCTGCTGCTCTGTGGAAGGGGCATCCCACCTAATCCTCACAGCCCTTCTGTGAGGCAGAAGCTATCATTCCTCTAAGTCCCTGGACTCATCCACCCAAGAAGGTAACAACATCAGTCTTTCTCAACCCCTCAGGAATGCTGTGGAGAGTAATGAGGTAAATCCAACAGCACTTGGAGATATTAGAAAGCACAGAGCGTGATACAAGTCCAACCGATTACTCACTCAGTCAACTGCAGAAAAAACTGAGCTGCTTCTAGTCCATATGAGATAAATGGTAACTGTTATTACTATTCATTATTAAATGCCCACTGTTGATAATATGCCTGGTAGAGTTACAAATGCCACCCAAAAATCATGACTCCTGCCCTCTAGGGAAATATGGCAGGGCAATGTTACTGGGGGCCAGGTTTTGCCTGGCACTCCTCTACGTGTTTTATCCCATTTACTTCTCACAGCAAGTAGAGAACATAAGAATTATGATTTCTAAGTCTAGCTCCTGCCTCTGGGAGAAGACAGCTCACATTCTCCTCGCCTCACCACTCCCAGAGGACATCGATGAGTAAGTAATCCAAGGCCTAAGCTCCCCAAGCCGTGCTCCATGGTGTGTGCCACGAATGGTTTATGGGTGTCCCTGAAATATAGGTCTTGTCAGCTCCCCAGTGGCCAGTCAGGGCCTGAGGCAGCCTCCTCTGTTCACATGTTTCATACAAATATTACCCGAAATGGTTGAGAACCACCAATTTCGAGCCCCACCTTCACACCATACACCAAAACATAACACGCTTATCGTGTGCGTTATTACGTATGTAAAAAAATAAAGTAAAACAGAATTTGTATCCACTCCTCGAGTGGGGTAGAATTTGGTTGATTTCCTTTGTCACTGTGAGCACATTCAAGGTAGCTTCTCACCAACCCATCGGCTCTATGAATTTTAGCAGGGTCCAAGTCCAGGCCTGACGTCTTCCGCTTCCCACTGAATGCTGCTTCTCCACCTGTGATCCCCTCTTGGTGAATGGTGACCCCAGGTCACAGGTCACTCAAGCCGGAAACCTGGGTGTCATCATTGGCCCCTCTTTGCCCCTCCCCCCCAGGCCCACCTCCAACCTAAGACAGCACCATCCTATCTGTCCTATGCAAAACATCTCTCAAATCATGTCACTCCCCCCATCCCCTCTTCCACTACTTTTCAGCACACATTTTAAAACCCACAGGTGAATGGGTGTTCTGTGGGTGCAGTTTCTCCATCTGCCTGTCTTTTGTCTGTGATTGAAACCAGGAGTGTCTGAAGATGACCAGTGATGAACAAAATTGACTAGCAGGGTCATGGATACAAGCAAAGCCCACATTGGCCCTCACTGGCGAGATCTCAATACGTTTCCTCACACTGGAGTCACAGAAAAACCGAGCCCCTCTTTATAATTGGTGTAGGGAGGATGGGTCAGCCTTTTGCTGGGAAGGCTGAAAGATTGAGCTGCCTTCCCTGGGAAGCTGAGGTCCCCACACTGGGGGTCCCAGTGAGATGCAGCTTTCCCTATACAGTCAGAAAACAGAAGACTAATGTGATTCGATGGGGACTCCATTGAGGTCCCTGGAAGGCCTACCATGAGACTCCATCTTTTGGATGAGAGCAGTGGGTTCCAGACCGTGCTCAGGAGCACCCTGGAGGTCTGTAGAATTGCCTCAGGGGACCATAGGGAGCAATGGGTGAAGATGTACTTCTTTTTCCCATTGGTTACAACCATTATTTTGTTAGTAGAAATAATTCCCCAGTGGGATGTGGTGTGGGATGAGATTGGACAGTGAGCGGTGGCCACTGTTTCCAGGCGACCCTGTCACCTAGGAACTCTGACTCCCTTAATGTTTTAGCTTTGCTGGTTTTGGGACTGCAAGTATAGAATCCCCATCCCTAAGAGGATGAGCTGTGTCACACAGTGGATCAGGACCCCATGGCTCCTAGTTGGGGACAGTGGTGCTTACGCTGTACGGCTATAATGGAAGGGCCCTTGCCTCATATCAAGGAGGGACCAGATCCTGGCTCTGTCTCTTGCTGGTGATGTGGCCTCAGAATGGAGCTCACACCACTCGCCTTGTTTTGGATGATTAGAGAATAAAACAGACACGTGTGAAGCCCCTGTAACACAGGCGGCTGTGTAATGTTAGGCAGAGCTGAGGACAAACGTCACCACCTTCCGAAGGTTGCCAAGGATTCACTGGGATGTAGCACTGGAGAGAATGAGAGTGTACAGGGCCAACAAAACTTGCTTAAGCTCTTGCTCACTCACACACTGCGATGGTCATCTGCTCACCACAAGATCCGGGAGCTCCTGCTGACCCCACACACTCTCCTGAAGACCCGTCCACTTTCCTTACGTCCTGAGCCACCCCCTTGGGTGCAGGGATTGTGACATGACACAGTTGGCAGTGGGGGTAAGGATGTAAGCAAAGGAGGAGAGCTCAGAACTTGGGCTCAGTCATATTTCAGAAACAAAGACGGAAAACTGATGAGCCACGCCTTTCCCTACTGTTGACGGGTCTGTCCTCTCCCTCCACATAATTGTCCTGTGTGCTCACTGTTCATCTGATGTTCAAGGGGTAATGGGGTCCCTCTTGAGATGCAAAGTTAACTCGTCCCTAGTCATGGCTGACAGTAAAGGGAGGCACATTTGACGCTTTCCGGCTGATTCTGAGTCCTTCACCACCAGACAAGGATCTGAAGGCTTAAAGACACACACAGCGAGTAGAACATGACTTACTGAAAACCCTGGCAATCACTTCTGGAAGTACTGAGCCCAAAGAGGAGGGAGGACTTGCCCAAGGTCAGCCAGAGAGATCATAGTTGCCCCAGGCAGGGAGAACAGGGATGTTAATGGGGAGGCATATGGGGAATCCTCTGTGAGTCTGGAGCTGGTAGAGGAAAATATCTTCTGCTTTGAGGCTGCAGAATCCAAAGGCCTGTACAAAGTGGGAGGCGGGTAAGGCCACATGGTGCATCAAAGCCAAGAGGGGCTGAGGTGGGTGATGGCAGCCTGCAGTCAAATCAACAGCAGAGGTGTTGCTTTCAGGAGATGGTGTGTAGTGTTGTGTCTGGGTGTCAGTCAGCATCTGGCGGGCAGCGGGCAGATGGCTCTGGGCTTAGGGGGCTTGGAAAAGGTCAGGGTTAGATTTGAGAACCCTGGATAGGGTGGGGTTGTGTCGAGGGTGAGGCTCAGAGATGAGGGCTCCTCGTTGTCAAGTCGTGCTACATTAAATCCCATCTCTGCTGCTTGGGTTTCAAGTGCGGCTGCTGAGTTGTGCCCCATGTTTATCCACCAGACTTTACCATATCATTTCTTCTCTCAACAAATATTCACATCATAAACACACGCACACACACATATACATGCAGGGACAGACTCTCTCTGACACCCCTAGTCATGTCCAGTGACCTATGCGACAGCAGCTGTGAAGGAGTGAATGCCCAACAGGCTCCCCTGCCCCTGGGAATTGGAGCTCCTCTCTTCTCTTGGACAGGGTTGAAACCCAGAATGTGAGATCCCAGCCCCTCTTGGAGAAGCAGCGACATGGAACTGAGCATCCCCACTGAGTTAGGGCCCAGCTTAGGAGAACAGAGGCATTGTGGGGAGAGGGGTGGTTCCTAGGCCATTCGGAACAACTGCTGAGACATCACATCGAAAGCAAACCAGTCACGCTAAGATTAACAGCTTCCTCTGTTCTGTACCTATGGGTCCCACCTTGGCTGCCCTCCAAAGATGTAGGAAAAGGGCTATGAAAGGGCTATGGGGCTCCCAAATGTTTCCTACCTGAACCCTACCCCACCTGGGCTTCATTGGTGCTCAAAGATACGGGCCCTCTGAACAACTAAAGGGAAATTAATTCACACAGCAGGCCCTGTCCAAGTACGTTTCCCTCTCCTGGCCTTGTATAGGGGACTACTTGAGTTAGGGGGGAAGAATATTCTGGTGTTCCTGCGTGCTAGTTAGCCTCCTTCACGCTAAAGGGCACATCCTATGTCTTTGTCCATTGGCCTGGTGATTTTTGGCGCTGCAATATCTAGCAGGGCCTCCACGTGTTGTTGGGTTAAAGGGACAAATATGCTCCAACCTCCCTGGATAGACTTCCCCTGTTGATATTATGTTGCAGTACATATCAAGGTCACCTTAGGAAGTGGAGGAAAAACCCTCATCATATGAAAATGAACCATTGCCTGTTGGAGGAGCTCTGTCTTGATGTGGAGTGGGGGTGCTTGGGAGCTGACTATACGTATATGGGCCTAAGAGTTTTTCTTAGGATCTGGAGATTCTTTTTCCACATGTCTCTCCTCCCTCCCCCTCCATATAAACATTACTCAGTTGTCCTCAGAAATGGCGACTGTGTGTGCTGTTGGGGAAAGAGAGATGTTATTCCTTTCTCACTCCCACAGTCATTTCCCCCATTGTGGTCAGAGCTGTCCACTGTGGAAAATTCGCTCTTCGTTGGCTGAAGTCTATTGCAACCGTGACTGAGGAACCAGTGGCACTGCCCCAAGAAGGCGAATGTACAGCCTCGTAGGGCTAAGTAAGATGCCAGCTCCCTTCCTCCACCACCCCACCACCAGCACAACTGACAACCCCCAATTCACCTGAGGCCGGTGTAAGTGTTGAAAGTTACACTGCTGAAAAGGAGAAACAAAAACAGTCAAGAGTGCCAGCATTTATTTCAGGCCCAGCGACCGAGAAACTTGCTTCCGGGGAAAGCAAGGGCATCTGGCAGCAGAAGGGGCTTGATCACCATTCATGGATCTTTGTCTGTGGGTCCCGTGGTCTGTTTCCAAGTGTCTGGTATCCTCCCCTACAAAGGCAAAGCAGAGTGACAACCGGACCCTTGCGGACCCTGGGGGAAGTCAGGTCTGGCCTGGGAGCCCTCTGGGTGGAAGGGGAAGGGGAGGCGCTTTGGCTTGGCTGTGAGCAGTGAGAAAGGCAGAGGCTGGTTCCAAGCTCTCACCTGAAAGACTTGGTGAAACATGCCAGGGCTCTCTGGAACCAGCTCCTCCAAGACCTTTGGGGACCAGCAGGCTCCCTGGGCAAGCCTGTGACATTGGATGGGCTCTCCGTGGTGTCAGACAAAACAACAAATTCCTCAGTGTCTTCAAGCTGGCCTTCCACATACTGCAAAAAAAAAAAAAAAAAGGGGGGGGAGGGTAAATAGCCTCATCCTAATGGTCCCTGCCTTCTCTTACATTCAATACCTCATTCAACAAGTGTTATGTGCATCCTCGGCCCTGTTCCAGGTGCTGGGGATACAGCAGTCACCTCTACAGACCAAACCCCAGCCCACTGGGGCTGACATTCCACCACAACGAGGGAAATCAGACTCACCAGGTCAGGAGGTGGAAGGAAGGGAGTGAAGATCATGCTTCCAGGAGAGTGTGATGTGCCGGTAGTGACCAACGCACTTCCTTGAAGAGATCAGCTAAGCTCCTCACTCTCCTGGGTGCAAAGAGGCTGAAGGCCTCGCCCCTCCACCCCCCTCCACAACCAGCCCCTCTGGGCCCGCCCTCTCTTTCCTCCCTCCTACAGCCCAGTGCACTGTGCTCAAGCAGTGGATACATTTCTGGTATGTGACATCCCCTTCACTCCTGTGTCTCTTAATCTCACCCCTACAGTCTCTTTCTCTCTCTTCCTCTCTCTCTGTCTCTCTCTCTTTCTTTCTCTCTTTCTCTTCTTCCTTGCTTTTCTTTTTTTCCCTTCTGTCCTCTGAACCTCCCAGCAGGCTCACACCAGGTTTCTGCTTGCTGAACAAAAAAAGCAGAGGTGTTCAGGCAGATGGTGAGTTGTCATTTAGTGGGGATGCCATAGACAGGAGTGTTCATGTGGGCCCTCTCCACGTTCAGATTCATAGGATTATGTGCATCAAAGCCCTGGGGAGGTATATGGGTCTAAATGGATTATTAAAGCAAGGAGAGTGAACTGGGTGATGGCACATCCCCAGTAGAGATTTTCCTCTCGGAGGGTTATGTGAGATGACATGTCTGTGACACAGTCAGCATCCAATGGCTACTGGACAGGTGACTCAGGGCCTGGAGGGTTTGGAAAATGTGAAGGACAGAGGGGAAGGGCCTGGGCTGGGCTAAGTTGAAAGCAGAATGACTGAGGTGAGAGCTTCTCGTTGCTTAGTCCTGCTATATGAAATTCCATCTTTGACACTTGGTTTCAAGCAAAGCTGCCTAGGTATGTCTCCTGCTTACCATCTGGAACTATGAGGGTCTGCGCCACAGACTTCAAGGCAGTGCCCTGCAAACAGTGTCCAGAAGGGAAAGAGGATGTAGGCAGCCTCAGAGTCTTTTATTTGGTTTTTGAGATAATAGCGTTGTTTAACAAATCATCTCTTATGTAACCATGAGGATATGCGGCTGATCTTTTCTGAGAGGCAATCATGGGCCACGGCCTGGGATTATAGAAATGAATGAGACTCAGCGGCTGCTTGAAGCCATTCTGTGGGAGAAAAGCCAAGAAAAGAGTAATTACAGTAGAGAGAGGTGGAAGGAAATTTACCTGGTCACGGGAAGATTGAGGAGGGGCAGCCGCCCAACCTCCAGAATTGGAATAGAGTCTTGGAGATTTCCCAGAGGAGGCATGCCTGAAATGAGTGAGGAAAGAAGTTGATCAGGAAATAGAGAAAGGGGAAGTGAGTTTTTGCAAGCGAAAATAGGTAGATCCAGGTTTCTGTTCTAGGGGTTAAGTAGAAGTCAAGGTCAGTCATGAGGTTCCAGTACATGAGTAGAAAACGCTGCCACACAGAGATACTGAGCCCTGGTTTTTGAGAAGCAAAAGTTTTTGTTTGTTGGTTCTTTTTTTTAACTCTGATAACAGTCCATCAATTGATTTTTCTTTGTGACTCATATTTTTTGAATGAATGTCCTAAGATATCTTTGCCTAACCTCACGATGCAAAAGTTTTCTCCTGTGTTGTCTCATAGGTTTTCAATTTTACAGTCTGCACTTAGATCTATGATTTATTCTAAGTTAACTTTTGCATATAGTGTGAGGTATTGGAGTTTGTTTGTGGTTTCTTTTCCCACACGGAGACCCACTTTTTCCAGTGCCACTAGTTAATTACGAGTTAATTTAATTATCTTAGCACCTTTGTCACAAATCTACTTACCATATATGTGTAGGTCTATTTCTGGGCTTTCTATCTTATCCATTGATCCATATGTCTATTTTCTTTCTTTTTTTTTTGTTTTTAGCTTCACTAAGCCTTTTATTCTTTTGTGTATTTTTTAAGTTGTGACAAATACACATAAAAATTTACCTTAGTGACATTTAGTACATCCACAATGTGTAACCATCACCATCATCTAGTTCCGGAACATTGTCGTCATTCCAAAAGGAAACCTGTACCCATTAGCAGTCACTCCCCATTCTCCCCTGCCCCAACCCCTGGCAACCACTTTCTGCCTCAAGGGATTGCCTTTTCTGGACATTTCATATAAGTGGAATTACTCATGTGGTCTTTTGCATCTGGCTTCTTTTGCTTAGCATAATGTTTTTGAGATTCATCTCGGTTGTAGCATGTGTCAGTGCTTCATTCTTTTTTATGACTGAATAATACTGCATCATACGGATGGACTGAGGACCCTTGGCCTGGCAGGAGCCGGGATGTGTGAGGCACAGGTCATACCACCGGAGGTCAGGCTGGGGTAATGAAAGGGCTGCTTTCTGCAGGGGGCTTGCTCACCACTGCAGAGTTGTTGCTGTTGTTTTGTTTTTTTTCAATTTTTATTGAGTTAATGATAGGTTACAATCTTGTGAAATTTCAGTTGTAGATTATTGTTTGTCAGTCGTGTTGTAGGTGCACCCCTTCACCCTTTGTGCCCACCCCCCACCCCATCTTTCCCCTGGTAGCCACTAATCTGTTCTCTTTGTCTACATTTTTAAATTCCTCATATGAGTGGAGTCATACAGAGATTGTGCTTCTCCATCTGGCTTATTTCACTTAACATAATTCCCCCAAGGTCCATCCCTGTTGTGGCAAATGGGACGATTTTGTTCTGTTTTACGACTGAGTAGTATTCCATTGTATATATATACCACATCTTCTTTATCCAATCATCTGTTGATGGGCACTTAGGTTGCTTCCATGTCTTGGCTATTGTAAATAATGCTGCAATGAACATTGGGGTGCATAGGACTTTTGGAATTGCTGACTTCAAGCTCTTTGGATAGATACCCAGTAGTGGGATAGCTGGGTTGTTTGGTAGCTCTATTTTTAATTTTTTTGAGGAATCTCCATACTTTGTTCCATAGTGGCTGCACCAGTTTGCATTCCCACCAGCAGTGTATGAGGGTTCCTTTTTCTCCACAACCTCTCCAACATTTGTTACTATTAGTTTTAGATATTTTTGTCATTCTAACGGGTGTAAGGTGATATCTTAGTGTAGTTTTGATTTGCATTTCCCTGATGATCAGCGATGATGAACATCTTTTCATGTGCCTATTGGCCATCTGTATATCTTCTTTGGAGAAATGTCTGTTCATGTCTTCAGCCCATTTTTTGATTGGGTTGTTTGATTTTTTGTTGTTGAGTTGTGTGAGTTCTTTATATATTATGGATATTAAACCTTTGTCAGATGTATAACTTGCAAATATTTTTTCCCAGTTAGTGGGTTGTTTTTTTGTTTCTATCCTGTTTGCATTTGCCTTGAAGAAGCTCTTTAGTCTGATGAGGTCCCATTTGTTTATTCTGTCCATTGTTTCCCTTCTCTGAAAAGATATGGTGTCCGCAAAGATCCTTTTAATACTGATGTCAAAGAGTGTACTGCCTACGTTTTCTTCTAGAAGCCTTATGGTTTCAGGTCTCACCTTTAGGTCTTTGATCTATTTTGAGTTTATTTTGGGGAATGGTGAGAAAGAACGGTCAATTTTCATTCTTTTACATTTGGCTTTCCAGTTTTCCCAGCACCATTTGTTGAAAAGACTTTCTTTTCTCCATTGTATGCCCTCAGCTCCTTTGTCGAAGATTAGCTGTCCATAGATGTTTGGTTTTATTTCTGGGCTTTCAATTCTGTTCCATTGATCTGTGCACCTGTTTGTGTACCAGTAGCATGCTGTTTTGATTACTGTAGCTTTGTAGTATGTTTTGAACTCAGGGATTGTGATGCCTCCCGTTTTGTTCTTTTTTCTCAGGATTGCTTTAGAAATTCGGGGTCTTTTGTTGCCCCATATGAATTTTAGGATTCTTTGCTCTAATTCTGTAAAGAATGTCATTGGCATTCTGGTTGGGATGGCATTGAATCTGTAGATTACTTTAGATAGAACGGACATTTTAACTATGTTTCTTTTTCCAATCCATGTGAATGGAATGTCTTTCCATCTCTTTATGTCGTCATCCATTTCTTTCAGAAAGGCCTTGTAATTTTCATTGTATAGGTCTTTCACTTCCTTAGTTAAATTCACTCCAAGGTATTTTATTCTTTTTGTAGCGATTGTGAATGGGATTGTGTTCTTGAGTTCTTTTTCTGTTAGTTCATTATTAGAATATAGAAACGCTACTGATTTATGCAAATTGATTTTATACCCTGCAACTTTGCTGTAGTTGTTGATTACTTCTAAAAGTTTTCCAATGGATTCTTTGGGGTTTTCTACATATAAGATCATGTCATCTGCAAACAGCGTGAGTTTCACTTCTTCCCTCCCTATTTGGATTCCTTTTACTCCTTTTTCTTGCCTGATTGCTCTGGCCAGGACCTCCAGTACTATGTTAAATAAGAGTGGTGATAGAGGGCATCCTTGTCTCGTTCCTGTTTTCAGGGAGATGGTGCTCAGTTTTAGTCCATTGAGTATGATGTTGGCTGTGAGTTTGTCATATATGGCCTTTATTATGTTGAGGTAGTTCCCTTCTATGACCATTTTGTTCAGAGTTTTTACCATAAATGGCTGTTGGATCTTGTCACATGCTTTCTCTGCATCTATTGAGATTATCATGCGGTTTTTATTCCTCAGTTTGTTGATGTGGTGTATCACGTTGATTGATTTGCAGATGAGCCATCCCTGTGTCCCTGGTATGAATCCCACTTGATCATGATGTATGATCCTTTTGATGAATTGCTGAATTCTGGTTGCCAAAATTTTCTTCAGAATTTTTGCATCTATGATCATCAGCGATATTGTCCTGTAGTTCTCCTTTTTCGTGCTGTCCTTGCCAGGCTTTGGTATCAGTGTGATATTGGCCTTGTAGAATGTGTTAGGAAGTGTTCCATCTTCCCTAATTTTTTGGAACAGCTTGAAAAGGATAGGTATTGAATACTCTCTGAAAGTTTGGTAGAATTCCCCAGGAAAGCCATCTGGTCCTGGGGTTTTATTCTTTGGGATGTTTTTGATTGCTGTTTCAATCTCTTTCCTTGTGTTTTGTCTGTTCGAATTGTCTGCTTCTTCTTGAGTGAGCTTTGGGAGATTGTAGGAGTCCAAGAATTTATCCATTTCCTCTAGGTTATCCATTTTGTTGCCATATAGTTTTTCGTAGTGTTCTCTTATAATCC